CTAAGTAAGTAAGTACTGGCCACATTGTCCGAATGCCCAAAGATCTCCGCCTCCCAAAGCAGTTGTTCTACTCCCAACTCAAGAAAAGGAAATGCAATGTTGGTGGACATGAAAAGAGATTGAAAGATGGGCTCAAAGCCAACCTTAAGAACTGTGGCATAGATACCAAGAACCGGGAAGCCCTGGCCCTTGAGCGCTCTAACTGGAGGTCAGCTGTGACCAGCAGTGCTGCAGAATTTAAAGAGGCATGAATGGAGGGTGAAAGAGAGAAACGTGCCAAGAGGAAGGCACATCAAGCCAACCCCTACCAGGACCTCCTTCCACCTGGAAACCAATGCCCTCACTGTGGGAGAAGATGCAGGTCAAGAATAGGGCTCCATAGTCACCTATGAATCCACCCCCAGGACACCGAACTTGGAGGACCATCATCCTCGGACTACGAGGGATCGCCTAAGTAAGTAAGTACTGGCCACGTTGTCCGAATGCCCAAAGATCTCCGCCTCCCAAAGCAGTTGCTCTACTCCCAACTCAAGAAAAGGAAATGCAATGTTGGTGGACATGAAAAGAGATTGAAAGATGGGCTCAAAGCCAACCTTAAGAACTGTGGCATAGATACCAAGAACCGGGAAGCCCTGGCCCTTGAGCGCGCTAACTGGAGGTCAGCGGTGACCAGCAGTGCTGCAGAATTTGAAGAGGCACGAATGGAGGGCGAAAGAGGGAAACGTGCCAAGAGGAAGGCGTGTCAAGCCAACCCTGACCGGGAACCAATGCCCTCACTGCAGGAGATGATGCAGATCAAGAATAGGGCTCCATCGTCATGAACGGACCCACCCTGGAGGATTATCCTACTTGGACAACGAGGGATCGCCTAAGTAAGTAAGTACACATATCGTATATACGCCTCCCACAAACACACGCAGACACAGTCACACACATTCCGCTGGGAGAGATCATCCGGAGTTTCGGGGTACGGTGTCATCTGTACGCGGATGATGTCCAACTCTGTCACTCCTTTCCACCTGCTACTAAGGAGGCTGTCCAGGTCCTGAACCAGTGCCTGGCCGCTGTGACGGTCTGGATGAGGGCGAACAAATTGAAATTGAATCCAGACAAGACAGAGGTACTCCTGGTCAGTCGCAAGGCCGAACAGGGCATAGGGTTACAGCCTGTGCTTGATGGGGTCACACTCCCCCTGAAGACGCAGGTTCGCAGCTTGGGTGTGACCCTGGACTCATCGCTGAACCTGGAACCCCAGGTTTCGGCGGTAACCAGGGGAGCATTTGCACAGTTAAAACTAGTGCGCCAATTGCGCCCGTACCTTGGGAAGCCTGACTTGGCCATGGTAGTCCACGCTCTGGTTACATCCTGTATAGACTACTGCAATGCTCTCTATGTGGGGTTGCCTTTGAAGACTGCTCGGAAGCTTCAAATGGTTGGTTGTTTCCTCTCTGCTGTTTTGCTGTTGTAATTTTAGAGTTTTTTAATACTGGTAGCCAGATTTTGTTCATTTTTATGGTCTCCTCCTTTCTGTTGAAATTGTCCACATGCTTGTCCACAACCAGGCACATCTAAACACCTCTCAACAAAAGATTCCCCCGGGCTCAGCCAGGCCTTCAAATGCTAATGAAGGTGGTCAGTTGAAACATTCACACCTAGCTCCAGCAGACAAGAGCTCTTTGCCCCACCCCAGTCATTCCACAGATATATAAACCCCTTTGTCCTAGTTACAACAGACCTCACTACCTCTGAGGATGCTTGCCATAGATGCAGGCAAAACATCAGGAGAAAATGCCTCTAGAACATGGCCATATAGCCCGAAAAAACCCACAACAACCTAAATAATGTCTCTCTTCCATCAAGAGTCACAATCTGTTTATTTGTTTTATGTATTTTATCACAAGAGTTCAGAGTAACCAATGCGCTGCCATATCAGAGAAGCAAAGAAATATTTATTTATTTATTTATTTATTTTATTTACTATATTTGTATACCGCCCTTCTCAGCCTTCCGGTGACTTGAGGCGGTTTACAAGGCAAAATTCAATGCCACCAAGAACACAATTACAATATAAAACGTCAACATCGATAAAATCATAACACTGTAATAAGACACAATTCAATAAATACTCATTAAAACAATGTCCAGTCCTGTCATGTAGTTGTTCTGTTCTTATGTCCTTTACTCAGTATTCACAAATGCCTGCTCGAATAGCCATGTCTTAAGTTTCTTCCGAAATGCTAGGAGCGAAGAAGCCGATCTGATCTCCCTAAGAAGGGTGTTCCATAGCCGAGGGGCCACCACTGAGAAGGCCCTGTGTCTTGTCCCCGCCAGCCGTGCTTGTGATGATGACGGAACCGAGAGTAGGGACCCTCCGGATGATCTTAAGGTCCTAGATGGTTCATAAGGGGAGATTCGTTCGGACAGGTAAGTTGGGCCAGAACCGTTTAGGGCTTTATAGGCTAAAGCCAGCACTTTGAATTGTGCCCGGTAGCGAACTGGCAGCCAGTGGAGCTGGTGCAACAAGGGAGTTGTATGCTCCCTGAGAGCTGCTCCAGTTAGCAACCTGGCTGCCATCCGTTGGACCAACTGAAGCTTCAAAGGCAACCCCATGTAGAGAGCATTGCAGTAGTCTATATGGGATGTAACCAGAGCATGGACTACCGTGGCCAAGTCAGACTTGTTTTGCTCCAGAAAAGGGGGGGGGGAAGCAAAGGGAAGAAAGCCATCCACTCTGGTTAAAACCGCTTCTCTTCCACACTGGTTTAAACTGACGCAGATCCATCCCATCCACAATGGTTTAAACTGATGCGATAAAACCAGTCTCTCGCTTGAGACTGACTCCGGAGGCAGGGAGGGAAAGAACGGAGGAAATTCATCCAGGCTGCTTTTACACCTCTTTCCAAGACCCAGGCAGAATGCAAGGGGAAGGAAGAGGGGGAGGGATTCATCCAGGCTGCTTTAACACGGGGAAAGACTGAATCATTTCGACTCACTTACTGCTTCGGAACAGAAATGGTGGAAAACGCTTCGAAATGGCAAGGATGTTGCACCTCAGGATAGAGTCACCTTGCTAAAAAACACCAAACTGCGCACAGTCTGAAGTCTTTATAGTTTATTAAAAAGTAAAAGATAAAAAGTTAATACAAGCAAATGTAATGTTCCAAAAGATCCATACAAGGCAGCACTTGGAAGCAGGATTCAAGAAGGCATCAGCGAAGCATAGTCCCATGAGAACATGACAAAGTCCTGAGACCATGAACATGAAAGCTGCAAGATGATACAGGCAAACAAATGGCAGCCCCTTGGTTGAAAAGAGAAGTTGCTCTGACACAGTTTTATTCTCAAACACCCTGCTTAATACCCTTTGCAAAACATGGAGGCGTTTCTCTGGCCTCTGACCTCATTTTTGTTAGCTATTCTCACACTCCTTCGAACTCTGAATTCCAAACGGTCAGCCCGATCTAAGATTCCTGTTTCCTCAAGGTCAGCCTGGTTGCCTTCCTGCCTACTATCAGGCTGAGAACTATCCTCCTTTTCTGAATCACGTTGCACCTGGCTATCAGTATCAACAACATCATTCCCTGCTGTGGGAAACTGAATTTGCACACCCAGTTCCTCATTGTCTACCACAGTGTTTCTCAACCCTTCTAATGCCACAACCCCTTAATAAAGTTCCTCATGTTGTGGTGACCCCCAACCATATTATTATTTTCGTTGCTACTTCATAACTGTAATTTTTCTCCTGCTATGAATCGTAATGTAAATATATCTGTGGAATAATGTCCAGAGTGGGAAACAGAACTCTTGTCTGTTGGAGGTAGGTGTGAATGTTACAATTGGCTACCTTCATTAGCATGAATGGCCTAGCAGTTTCAAGGTGTGACTTGTTACTGCCTGGGGGAATCCTTTGTTGAGAAGTGATTAGCTGTCCCTGATTGTTTCTTGTCTGGAGTTCCCCTGTTTTTGAGTGTTGTTCTTTATTTACTGTTATGATTTTAGAGTTTTTTTAAATACTGGTAGCCAGATTTTGTTCATTTTCATGGTTTCTTCCTTTCTGTTGAAATTGTCCACATGCCTGTTGAGAGGTGATTAACACTTACAATCAGGGCCAGCTAATCACCTCCCAACAAAGGATCCCCTCAGGCAGTGAGAAGCTTGGACTGGGTGTTCCTCCTTTGCAGAAGGATGTTGGACTGGAGGGCCTTTGTGTTCTCTTCCAACTATTGATCTAAGCAATGAGGGGCTACTCTCTGTTTATTGTTCCCCAACTCTAACTTTCCAATTGAACTCCCATCTTATTTCCAGCTAGGTTGGGCTAGAGATCAAAAGAGCACATTACCTCCAATTTTGATCCAATTTCACTAAGGGTTTTTGTGAGTTTTCCAGGCTTTATGGCCCTGTTCCCAAAGCATTCTCTCTTGACGTTTCAACTGCATCTATGGCAACCTCAGAGGTTGTGAGGTCTGTTGGAAACTAGGCAAATGAGGCACACACACACACACACATATGTACATTACACATACACATACATACAATACATGCCCCTGTGGAATGATGTCCATGGAGGGAGAAAGAACTCTCATCTGTTGGAGGCAGGTGTGAATATTACAATTAGCCACTTTGATTAGCATTTAATGGCCTAGCAGTTTTAAGGCCTGGCTCTTACTGCCTGGGGGAATCCTTTGCTGATTAACACTCACAATCAGGGCCAGCTAATCACCTCCCAACAAAGGATTCCCCCAGGCAGTGAGAAACCAGACCTCGAGGGCTTGATTAACACTCACAATCAGGGCCAGCTAATCACCTCCCAACAAAGGATTCCCCCAGGCAGTGAGAAACCAGACCTCGAGGGCTTGATTAACACTCACAATCAGGGCCAGCTAATCACCTCCCAACAAAGGATTCCCCCAGGCAGTGAGAAACCAGACCTCGAGGGCTTGATTAACACTCACAATCAGGGCCAGCTAATCACCTCCCAACAAAGGATTCCCCCAGTTTATGGTTCCCCAACTCCCGCTCTCCAGTTGAACTCCCATCTCATCTCCAAAAGAACACATTGGGGAACGTTACCTCCAGTTTTGATTCAATTTTGCTAAATCTGCGAGAGGAAGAGCCACCGAGTCTAATGAATTTTGTGGTTGAAAACCAATCACTCAGAAAAGTGTCAGAAGAACTTCTACATCAATCCAGAAACCTAAAAGGTTCGTGAGTTGGTGATCTAATTATTTCTAAACCCTGTTGATGCTTAGACAGAAATTGCAAGAGGAAATTTCAGCAGAGAGAAAGCATGCGGTGCAATATCTCCCCAACCTTCATTCGGAGAGCTTTGCATTTCTGAAAAGAGACCCCTGGCCCTTGTTCTTGCAGGGCCTGCGCTTTAGACGTCAGTCCCGCCTGATTCTCCCGTCTCTCCTTTCATTTTCTTTGCGGATGATTGTGAATCTCCACCTGTAGCGAGGTAGGGCTTGTCTTTATTGCTCTGCACCATCTCCTGAATTTTTCGAAGCAGTTCTTGAGCTTGTGCCTCCTGCTTCTCTCCCTCTTCGTTGTTGTTGAAGCCGCAGTATCGGTTGTCGCATGCCTTGATCAAATCATGGAAGTGCTTGTTTTCGGACTGGGCAATATACTCTTCCAGGGTGACGGTCCGCAACTCTTCCCTGTGTGTAAACACAATGACGGTGTACTTTTGTGCCTCGGGGCCAAATATCTTCTTGACCCGCTTTGTGGCTTGGTGGTCCTCCTCTGTGAAACGGCCCAGTTGGGACACCAGCACCAGGGCATGGGGACCAGGCCGGGAGAGACTCTGGCAGCGCTGGACCTCAGGGCAATTTGGGGGCGCATCAGCTTCAAAAATGGCAGGTGTGTCCATGACAATAACCCGTGATCCCTCCCAATCCCGAATTCCCAGCTCACAGGACTTGGTTACGGAGGTGAATTCAAGCCTGGACTCAAAGTACTCCTTCCCAAGGATGGTGTTCCCTGTCGCACTTTTCCCTGCGCCCGTCTTGCCCACAAGGATGATGCGCAGCTCCGGTTCCTCGGAAATTGGGGTCTCGTTTCCTTTTTTCTTTGTGTCTCCTAAAAAGAGAATAAGACATCAGCAGAATGCACCAAGGTTTCATGTGAAGGGGTGGGCTGGGGTTGCTGGCTGCCTCCAATAAGCCCTTTGGGTATTTAAAAATGTGAAGTGATGCCCTTGAGTGATAACAAGCGCCAGCTGCGCCCGTACCTCGGGAAGTCTGACTTGGCCACGGTAGTACACGCTCTGGTCACATCCCGCCTTGACTACTGCAACGCTCTCTACATGGGGCTGCCCTTGAAGACGGCCCGGAAGCTCCAGCTAGTCCAGCGCGCGGCAGCCATGTTACTAACAGGAGCGGGACGCAGGGAGCACACAACGCCCTTGTTGTTCCAGCTCCACTGGCTACCGATCTGCTACTGGGCCCAATTCAAGGTGCTGGTGCTGGCCTACAAAGCCCTAAACGGTTCCGGCCCAAAATACCTGTCTGACCGCATCTCGGCCTACGAGCCCACGAGGACTTTGAGATCGTCTGGGGAGGCCCTTCTCTCAATCCCGCCTGCCTCACAGGCACGCCTGGCGGGGACGAGGGATAGGGCCTTCTCGGTGGTGGCCCCCCGGCTGTGGAACACCCTCCCTGTAGACATCAGACAGGCGCCCTCCCTTATGACATTCCGCAAGAGACTAAAGACGTGGTTGTTTGAGAAGGCGTTTGACTAAGTGCTACAACAATTGGCAATGATGATTGGAACGGAATATGGAAAACGAGATTGGATTGTGATTCTATGATGAGACGTCGCGAATGATTTAGTGTAATTGTATTATTGATAGTGATGTTGTTATTGTTGTTTGTGATATTGCCTTTATTGTAAATTGTTTTTATATGTTGTACACCGCCGTGAGTCGCCCTATGGCTGAGAAAGGCGGTCTACAAATGCAGTAAATAAATAAATAAATAACAAAGGAAGAAATACAACCACAGGCTTATGTATTGTCGAGGGCTTTCATGGCCGGAATCACTGGCTTATTGTAGGTTTTTCAGGCTGTATGGCCATGTTCTAGAAGCATTCTCTCCTGACGTTTCGCCTGCATCACAACCTCTGAGGATGCCTGCCATAGATGCAGGCAAAATGTCAGGAGAGAATACAGCCCAAAAAACCTACAACAACCCAATCGCAGGCCTGTTTTGACCAAGGGTAGAAGGGATGACTGACTACCGAGGGATTTAGGAGAAGGACAGGGTGGTATGTCAAAGGGAGAGGGAGACAATGAAGGAAAGACAGGGGTAAAGGAAACCCAAGAAAAAGAAACGTGGTGGCATCTTTAAGGCAGACTCTTGTTTCTTACTTTCATCTGAACTTTGGAAGATGTCAATAGGAAAGGCTTAGGGATAAAGCTTATTTAAACAGTTGTGGGAGGAGGGTGGAAGAGGATCCAGAAATATGCACATCATGCCCTGAATAGGCCAGTGGAACAGACCACCTTGCCTTTCCAGGAGAAATGCAACCTCTAAATCAAGTGGCACAAAGGCCAATGCCAGCCGCACAGATTCCATCACATAGAATCATAGAATCATAGAATCCTAGAGTTGGAAGAGACCTCCTGGGCCATCCAGTCCAACCCCATTCTGCCAAGAAGCAGGAAAATTGCATTCAAAGCACCCCTGAGAGGTGGCCATCCAGCCTCTGTTTAAAAGCTTCCAAAGAAGGAGCCTCCACCACACTCCGGGGCAGAGAGTTCCACTGCTGAACGGCTCTCACAGTCAGGAAGTTCTTCCACATGTCTGCCTTTGGAAGTCAGACGCATGAGAAAACAGGGAATTCTGGAAATGACCAGTTCTTCTAATTGGCCAAACTTCAGCATTGTTGCCAGAGAGCTCTCTGATGGGTTTGTGTCTTGAAAAGGAAGCCAAATTCACACTGAGTGGGGCAGGAAACCCCCTGAGTTGGAGGCTCACCCCCTGACTGGCATTCCTCTCTTGAGAGCATAGAATCATAGAATCCAAGAGTTGGAAGAGACCTCATGGGCCATCCAGTCCAACCCCATTCTGCCAAGAAGCAGGAAGATTGCATTCAAAGCACCCCTGACAGATGGCCATCCAGCCTCTGTTTAAAAGCTTCCAAAGAAGGAGCCAACAAAGATGTTGGCTTTGTGCCTTCCCAGGCACTAGGCATGGTAGGAGCCCCCAGTGGCGCAGTGGGTTAAACCCCTGTGCCGGCAGGACTGAAGACCGACAAGTTCGAATCCAGAGAGAGGCGGATGAGCTCCCTCTATCAGCTCCAGCTCCTCATGTGGGGACATGAGAGAAACCTCCCACAAGGATGATAAAAACATCAAATCATCCGGGCAACGTCCCCTGGGCAACGTCCTTGCAGACGGCCAATTCTCTCACACCAGAAGCGACTTGCAGTTTCTCAAGTCGCTCCTGACATGACCAAAAAAACAACAACGAACAAACAAACTAGGCATGGTTAGATTCGGTCGGAATCTTCGTAATTCGGAATAAATTCGGAAATATTTCCTTTTTGAAGTGATTTTGAAGTTTTTAAGGAAACTAGATGCCCCTTCCGAAGCTTTTTCTGCCATTTCTCTTACGAATCAGTAAGTGAATCGGAAATGATTCAGCTTTTCAAACCAGTGTGGATGGATTTCCTTTGGTTTCAGTCTTGGGTGAGAAGTTTAACCCAGTTTGGATGGATTTCTTCCCTTTTCTTCCCCCCCCCCCCCCGCTTCTGGAATAAAACAACTACTTTCAAAGTAAAGACCACCCAATGAAACAGGAAATAACACTTTGAAACCATTAATGAAGGATTCTGAAGTCTCGGAAGTTTTTAAAAGTTTTGAAAATTGGAATTGACTTTTGATCTGAACCATCAGCCCCCCTACATCTGAAACTAGTTTTGAACCATTTTTTTTTTTTGGAATCAAACAAGCCTACCAGGCACCTGCATCCCAAGGGTTTGCACATCAACTCAGCACACACACCCTACCCATATGCACACCCCATTATCAAATGCTTCTTAGGGATATCTTACCCAATATGTTTCTGCAAATACTAGGAATGAAGGATGTGGTCATGGCTAGGAATATCTAAATGAAGGAGAAAAAAAGAGCATCATCATAAACATAAAAACCAGAACATTTCTCATGGAAATAGAGTTAAGCAATAGACAAAAGGCTGGGGTGACTCATTTCTGCTTTGCCTCGTCTCATTGGGCACAGGCCAGGACAACTTATCCCCCTTCAGTTCAGGGATCTGGTGTTGTCCCTGCCCTAAAGGCCTTGTGGCACATCCAGGTATCTGGTAAACCCAGAGGCAGCCCTAGGTAATTTTCAATGGTAAGCAAACAGTATTTTGGCGCCCCCCACCCCCAACCAATCACTGAAATATATTTTCTGTTCATCGTGGGGGTTCTGTGTGCCATATTTGGTTCAATTCCATCATTGGTGGAGTTCAGAATGCCCTTTGATTGTAGGTGAACTATACATCCCAGGAACTACAACTCGCATATGTCAAGGTCTATTTTCCCCCAATAGTGCCTCAAGAGTGCCCCTGGGCAAAATCAACTATACCGCAAATGCTTACTTTGCGTAATGGGTTGAGCCGCCCCTGGGTAAACCAAACCCAGTATGTGGGAAACTCACCCACCCAAGATGCACTAAGGAAGGAACTGGCCGAACACCCTCTGAGGCCTACTCACTTGCCTAAGAAAACCCCATGAAACCCATGGGATCGCCCTCAGTTGACAGGTAATCTGAGGGCACATAGACACACACATAATAATAATAATAATAATAATAATAATAATAATAATAATAATAATAATACGACAATGGGACTGTCACAAATTATATCTGGACCCACCCATCAGGCTGGTCACACTCTGGACCTAGTTTTCGTAGCAGACAGTGGAATGATCAGAGTGGAAGACCAAAACATCCTTCCTGTGTCATGATCTGATCATTATCTGGTCAGTTTTAGACTCTCTGCGACCCTCAACCTCCGCAGGGGTGGAGGACAGATTAAAATGGTCCACCCTAGGAGACTGATGGATCCGGATGGATTCCTGAGGAATCTTGGGGTTCTTCCTGCCATGGAGCCTGGCGATTCTGTCGACGCCTTGGTGGATCTCTACAACAGGGAGATGTCCAGGGCGATAGATACAATCGCTCCCAAACGCCCCATCATGTTGCGTCGTGACAGACCGTCTCCCTGGTTTACTGGGGAGCTGGCTGTGATGAAGCACACGAGAAGGGGGCTAGAGCGCAAGTGGAGGAGATCTCGGGACGTGTCTGACCAAGCACGGGCTAAAGCCTCTCTTAAGGCATACTCCGTGGCCATACAGATGGCCAGGGAATCTTTCACGACTACCTGTATAGCGTCTGCAGCAAATAGATCATCGGAGCTGTTTCGGGTTGTCGGGGAACTTCTTCACCCACCTGTGGTGGAGGGGACCTTCGACGACCCAGCAACTCGGTGTTGCGAGTTCGCACATCACTTTGCAGGCAAAATTGCTCAGATACGCCTTGAGTTCGACTCCAATTTCATCACAGTACCAGATGAGGTGATTGAGGCATCTGCTTGTCCAATTTTGTGGGATTCTTTTAGGCTTGTTCTTCCTGAGACCGTGGAAGAGGTCCTTGGGCTGTGAGGGTGACTACCTCACCTCTAGACCCATGCCCATCTTGGCTCATTAAATCTGCCAGGGAGGGGTTGGTTGATTGGTTTGTGTTGATTGTCAATGCATCGTTGGAGCAAGGGATTTTTCCATCTAATCTGAAACAGGCTGTGGTTCGTCCACTCCTCAAAAAAGCTTCCCTTGACTCCACGGTGCTGAACAATTACAGGCCAATCTCCAACCTCCCTTTTCTGGGTAAGGTGCTGGAGCAGGTGGTTGCCTCCCAGCTCCAGGGCTTTTTGGATGACATCAACTACCTAGATCAGTCACAGTCTGGTTTCAGGCCTGGTCACGGCACCGAGACAGCCTTGGTTGCCTTGGTGGATGACCTCCGTAGAGAGCTGGACAGGGGGAGTGTGACTCTGTTGGTTCTCTTGGACATCTCAGCGGCTTTCGATACCATCGATCATGGTATCCTTCTGGGTCGTCTCTCTGGGATGGGTCTCGGGGGCACGGTTCTGTCGTGGCTCCGATCCTTCCTGGAGGGTCGATCCCAGATGGTGAAGCTGGGAGACGCCTGCTCGGACCCCTGGCCTTTGACCTGTGGGGTCCCGCAAGGCTCCATTCTGTCTCCCATGCTTTTAACATCTACATGAAACCGCTGGGAGAGGTCATCCGGAGTTTTGGAGTTAGGTGCCACCTCTATGCAGATGACACACAACTCTATTACTCATTTCCACCCAATTCCAAGGAGGCCTCTCGGGTGCTGGACGAGTGCCTGGCCGCTGTGTCTATCTGGATGAGGAGGAACAAGCTGAAGATCAATCCCGACAAGACAGAGGTCCTCCTGGTCGATCGTAAACCTGACCGGGGTATAGGGTGGCAACCTGTGTTGGACGGGGTTACACTCCCCCTGAAGCCACAGGTCCGCAGTTTGGGAGTCCTCCTGGACTCATCACTTACGCTTGAGGCTCAGGTGTCGGCGGTGTCCGGGAGGGCCTTTGCACAACTAAGACTCTTGCGCCAACTGCAACCGTACCTCGTGAAGGCTGATCTGGCCAGGGTGGTCCATGCCTTGGTCACCTCTAGATTGGACTACTGTAATGCGCTCTACGTGGGGCTGCCCTTGAAAACGGCTCGGAAATTCCAACTTGTCCAACGGTCCAGCCAGGATGTTAACTGGGCTCCTTACAGAGAGAGGTCAACCCTCCTGTTCAAGGAGCTCCACTGGCTGCCGTTTATTTACCGAGCCCAATTTAAGGTGCAGGTGCTTACCTACAAAGCCCTGAACGGTTTGGGACCATCCTACCTGCGTGACCGCATCTCCGTCTACGAACCCACGCGTTCACTTCGGTCATCTGGAGAGGCCCTGCTCGTGATCCCGCCTGCGTCGCAAGCGCGGTTGGTGGGGACACGAGACAGGGCCTTTTCTGTGGTGGCCCCCCGACTCTGGAACACCCTCCCCAAAGATCTTAGACAGGCCCCTACTGGCAGTCTTCAGAAAGAACTTGAAGACCTGGCTGTTCCGATGCGCCTTCCCCGAATAGGAAACCTCCAAGACCAAGTCCCATAAGCACTTTATTAAATTAAGATTGCCGTACACTGCACACTGCACTTGCCCTATTAGCCTTACAGCCCACCTGTCACACCAACACTTTTTAATTCTTGTACCCATTACACTGGCCCGGCCCAGTTTTATTGTGTTTTAGTGTACTATTACTTGTTGTTTAGTTTGCTTAACTGTTTTTAATTTGCTTTAGGTTTTGTATTGTTGTATTGTGTGTTGAGGCCTTGGCCTTTGTGAGCCGCATTGAGTCCTTCGGGAGATGCTAGCGGGGTACAAATAAAGTTTAATAATAATAATAATAATAATAATCATCATCATCATCATCTTTATTTATACTCCACCACCATCTCCGCGATGGGGACTTGGTGC